AGATTAATTTTGCAGCCAATTACCTTTTTGAGTTCTAGTATTATTTGTAATCATTTTGAGTTGGTTCACTTGTATTTCTGTATTCTCATGTCTGACAGTATATCACCTACAAATGATGACAGGTTTACCTATTTATTTTCAATTTTATTCTTTTTGACTGTGTAATAACATGGTGAATCCTTCTAGAAGAATACTCATGTTTATTTTATTTAAAGCTTTTATTTCAAGGCTGGAGGGGAGGGGGGATCACTCCCAGCAAAACTCAGGGTTTCACACCTGGTAGTGCTTGGGCTCCACGGTGGTATGTAGCAGTGCTAGGGTTGGACACGCGATGTCACGAATTGAACCCAGGGGCTTGCATATACAAGGCGTGTGTTCTGCTACTTAGTTCACAACCTCATACCTTAACTTGTGTTGATCACTTGTTTTCTTTTGTTTTTCTTTGGGGGCTGTACTGATTTGTAAAGCAAAAAAAAATTTAGAAGCTTATTTTTCTTTTTGTTTTTGTTTAATTTTCTATTAGCTGTGTAAAGAATTAGAAATGAAGAGTTAAAGCCATCACTTCTGAGATGATATTGTCACTTACCTAGAAAATGAGCTGAATCAAAACACAGTATGTTAGAATTGATGGGAAGTTTAAAAACTTACAAGATGTAAGAGTAACCTACTAATACCAGTAGGACTGCCTTGTGTCAACCATAATGAACTAGAAATAGAAATAAACTAGAAATAGAGTAAAAAAGAAGATATTGTTCACAAAAGTAAAGGCATCTAATTCTCCAGGACTCAACAGAAACAAAAACCATACAAGATCACTATGAAGAAATCTTAAACTTCTACAAAAGGACATTAAGCAAAAGGGAAGAGATTCTATACTATTAGGTTAGATATTTCAACATTGTAAAGTATTCTATTTCCACAAATTCATCTTAAAATTCAAAATAATCCCCAACAAAACTCCATGTGGAATCTCTGGGGAAGAGGGACATGACAGAATTGTTTTAAAATTTATTCAGTGGAATCAAGAGCCATGAAAAGTCTACTCAGTCTTTATAAAGGGGAAGAAAGGGCATTGATTGGTCTTACTGATGAAGAGGCATTACTATCTGATGTGCTAACTACACAGGGTGTCTCACACATACGTAGCAAATGGGCCAATGGAGCAAGAATGACCAAAGGACAGGATTCAGCACTAACATAGTCACAGAGGAGAAACTGCCTTGCAAATTCTAACGAACAGTTGAAGTAAGGTGCCAGAGACTTGTGGGCGCTTGGTTCAGCATGTTGTGGAACGCGGAGTGACAGGAGACCATGACTGAGGATTGCGTGGACATTACCATCACCTTAGTCCTGGTCAGTAAAACACATGAAATCTATGCACAACTTCCATTCGAACATTTCTGTTCCTGAGTCATATCTGAAACAACCTCCATCCATGAAGAGGCTGCATGGGGCAGGTGTGTGTGTGTGTGTGTGTGTGGAGCGAGGCGGGGGGGTATAGGGGTGGGGGGAGTTGTAGGAAGCTATCACTAGGGAGGAGAAGTAAAGAGCTGAAAACATGTACCAGTGAAGTATTACGTAGTAAATGAAGTATTATTTGGTTGCAGGGAGTGCCCAGAGTGTGACTGTGGGGTTGTGGGTTGTATAATAAATGGATGTTCAATTTTGTTTTTATTATTGTATATTTTTTGTTTTTAGGTCACATCTACTGTGTTCAGGGTTGACTCCTGCCTCTGTGCTCAGAGATCACTTCTGCTATACTCAGGGGACCTTGCGGGTGCCAGAGATCAAACTCAGGTTGGGCTAGTGCAAGGCAAACACCCTACACACTCAACTATCTCTCCAGGCCCAATGGTTTCTTTGAATTTTATTCATTTTTATTATTTTTTTTATTTTTGGGCCACCCCTATGGTGCTCAGGACTTACTCCCAGCTCTGTACTCAGAGATTACTCCTGGCAGTGCTCAGAGGAACAATAGGGTACCAGAACGGAACCCAGGTCGATTGCATTCAAGACAAGAGTCCTACAAGCTGTACTATCTCTTTGGCTCCAAGTATGCTTAATGTTAATAAATTAATAATGATAGATGATAAAATGGATTTAACTTTAATAAACTTTCAGACTCATTTGCAGAGTAGTGTATTTCCACTAAAAATATATGCTTACTCTACACGTGTCAACACTTGGTTATTGTCAGACTTAAGTTTTTAGGTATTCTAACATTATAACTGTATTTTAACAATGTACCTCATATTACTATTCTAACTCTATGACTGTCTTATGCTACTGAACTTTGATTTGCATTTTCCCAACAGCTAATGAGGTAGAAAATCTTCTACTGAAGTTGTTTGCTCTTCCTATATCTTCACTGGCGAGGGAAGATTTATTCGATCTTTCACCCGTCTTCTAAGTAGACGGTTTTCTTACTGTTACATTTGGGGTATTCTTTACATGTTAGTACATGAGTCTTTTGCAGGATATGTGCTGATATTTTATTCCATGTGGTCTTTCTATTATTAATTTATGGCTAGTTTACCAGTCTGGTCTTAGCTGTTTAATTGGAAAGTAAGTTAGCGGACCCCAAAAACAGAATGAAATTGAATCGTGACTGGAGTGCAGTGAGAGGAGCTCGTCCAGGGAAAGGGAAGGTGCATCTTGCTCAGACAGAACCTTTAGCTGGTTCCTGTCACAGGCAGGACTCAGAAAGGGGAAAAAAATATCTATGACTCCAGCAACAACCTTTGGGATATCAATTAGGGGCTATAAAATGGTGTGAGTCCCAAAGTGCAAAATTAGCAGAGCACATCCCAGGCTTTATCTTGATACCCAGGATGGGTGATGCAACGTGCCCCTCATCTGGAGACCAGCACCGCTCAAAGGTGGCCTCTTGTGGAGGCCAAAGTTCCCAGTCTGTTGCTACGTGTCACGAAAATTTCCTAACTTCTTCGAAGGGCCATAAATGAAAGCGTGGTTAAGGTGGGGCTGATTATCAGGCGTGTGAAGTTCAGGCTAGAGATTCATCGACCAGCACAGGCCACGACCTTCCCAGGCCTGGTCGTTCCTCAAGTCTCTGGACTGTCATTCAGCTTGGTCGTTCCTCAAGTCTCTGGACTGTCATTCAGCTTGGCTGCCCATAATTAGCTCTCCTGCCCCTCTCACTGCTGTTCTAGACGAGGCTGGTCATTCTCCTCCTGGCCAGGGTGACCAAAACTCTGAGTCCCTGAGATCTGGTTCTGGAGGTGCACACGCTTTCCAATGTCCCCTTGGTGACAATGAGTAGACCTGCACTCTTTCCTATGTTCCCTTGGTGACAATATCGCCACCAATGGTTTACAGTGGGGAATGGTGGGCAGAAGCAGGGACCCGGGATGGAGCAAACCTGCTTCTCTCAGCAGTCTGGGAGCTGAAGGAAGCCTCCTGCACCGTGCACACTGCGGCCTCTCAGCTCCTGTGGGGGTGTCTCGGCCAGCGTCTTCCCAGGAGAAGTGCTTGCTCTAACGCAAAGTTCTCCAGGCCCACTTCACCTGTGAGCGCCGCAAAGGGGTACAGAATTAACACCAGATGGTTTCTGCAGAGTCATCTGTTGAAAAATCTCATTTTAGACTAGTTTTTCAAATGGTTACTTTTTAAACCCTGGTGTATTTCAAATATGGACACAGGCCGTCCAGGTAAGTGCACAGAATTCATCTCCCTGCCACCAGCAGAACATGTATCCTGTCTGCAAGGGGCTTCCTGAGTCAGATTCAGGGCTTTTGTCGGGGCGGGGGCCGGGGGCAGGACCTGGGGCCACACCGGCTGTGCTCAGGGCTGACTCCTGGGCTCTTTGCTCAGGGATCACTGCTCCTGGGGCGAGGTGGGTCCACACAGGGGACTGGAGGTGGGACTGGTTTGATGCATGCCAGGCCAGCGACTTATCCTTTCCCTGTGCTCGCTCTTCACTTGCTTCACCCCTGCACATCCTTCTCTGCCTCCCCCTACCCAATTAGTGGGGAGAAAACCCCAGACAGCCAGCAGCCCTTGACCCAGAGAGATTTCAGTGTGCATCTCTAACAGACCAGAATCTAAAAATTTAATGAAAATTTTCATATCAAATGTTGTTAGTGCAGAAAATTTCCCAATGATCTCATGTGCCTTTGGTTGGCTTCAGGTTATTTTGTTTCTATGGTTCATTTGTTCAAATTAGGATTCAAATAAAGTCCACCTAGGACAATTCATTGCCAGGTCCCCCAGGTCTCTTGCAGCCTTCCCTCTCTATATTTTTGTTGCCGTTGTTCCTTTCCTTGCAGTTTATTTGTTGAAGAAACTATGTAGCTTGTCCTGTGGTTTTTCACTACAGGGGATGCTGGGCACATTGATTGCAGACCCGGAATAGCCTTTAACAAGCCGTGAGGTCCTAAATTCATTTCTTCACCAGGGAGCTTGTGTAGGAAGTACCACAAGCTTGTACCACAAGGTGTAGTGGTCTGTCAATTTGGTGTCCGTGGCCAGCGGAGAAAGGGTCCGTGACACAAGACAAGGAGAACTAAAGTCAGTCCCTCTGCCCCCACCATACCCAATGCTCGAAGCTGCACCTTCCACCTTTCTTTTGAGCATTTCTTTTCAAGTCTCTTCCCAGGGCTGGAGCGATAGTATAGCAGGAAGGGCGTTTGCCTTGCACATGGCCAACCCAGGTTCGATTCCCAGCATCCCATATGGTCCCCTGAGCACCGCCAGGAGTAATTCCCGAGTCCAAAACTAGGACTAAGCCCTGTGCATGTCCAGGTGTGACCCCAAAAAAGAAAAAGAAATCCAAAATCAAATCTCTTTCCTCGGCGTGCCTAGGTGCAGGAACTGGGTGCCAGGCCAGTAGGAGTGCTGGTGCTCTTTGATTTTTTTAAAATTAAATTTATTTATTTTGAATACCCATCCCTCCACCAGTAACCATTTCCCACCACCACGGATCCCAGTAACCCTCCCACCCCCCATTCCATCCCCATCCCACCCTGCCAGAAGTGATTCCTGGGTGCAGAGTCATAAGTGTGGCCCCCAAACCAAAAAAAAAGAAAATAAAAATATAAAGCGCCCTCGCCCTAAGCGGACAGTGCAGAGAGCTGGGTCGGGGTTTCTGTAAGCAGGGCCCGAGCCCCGGGGCACAGCACGCATCTCCTGCTCCATGCCACGGGGTACAGAACACGCCAGGTGGTAATTTGTCATGCATAAGAGAAGGGAGGTCAGGCCAGGTGGTACCCAAACAAGGTCCCTAGGGAAGGCCACGTGGGGCGCCCCCTGCAGGCACGTGGCTGAACTCCTCCCCACCAGTGTGGCCTCCCCGGTACCCGCCTCTGAAGTGCCAGCAGGAAAGTGGGCGAGTGGAACTTAGAAGCGCTTCGCAAACAGCCGTGCCGGCTTTTATTGGGCGTCTTTGTATAAAAGGAAAGGGAGAGACAAAGCCAGAAGATGGACTCTGGGAACAAATGCCCAGGGTGGGGGACAGGAGGAGGGGGAGACAGTGTGGGCTGGGGGAGGTGTGGGGGTCTGGGCAATTCTCTTTCATGCAGTGCCAAGGAGGGTTGATGGGGGAGGGGGTGCGGGTCCTGGCCTTTGTGTCCACGCCGCTCGCCGCTGGACGCCCGGGGTGGCCATGTGCCCAGGCCTCAGTGCACTTTCTTAAACACTTGCTTGCAGACCACACCCTGTACTCTCATCTCCTGAAACAGAGGGGGGTCTGGTCAGTGGTCAGAGCAAGAGAACACTGGGCTCCAGGGGCAGAACTATCCAGTTCTGGACTGCGAGGGTCCCCCCAGAGCTGCTCTGGACGGACGGAGGCCTTGGCACTGCTCAGAGTGGACTGTGGACAGAGCTGGCTGGGTAGCAGGGGTGGCTCAGAGCTGGCCAACAGCCCCCTCTGGGGTCTCCCGCTGTCCCCTCTTCATGGGGCCAGCGGGTTAAGGAACCTCCGTTCTGAGTCCAGAATAGTCTGCAAATAATCGGGCCCCCACACAAGGCCTCACCCCTAAAGGGGCTCCCCGGCCCACTGTAGGGAGGGTGGCACGTGACCCCCACAGGTCAAAGCGTCAGCAGCAAATGGTGAGAGGCCCGGGTCTCGCCCCATCTGAGCGGCAGGTCCTGGAATTGCTCTATTGAAAAGCTCCCCCTGTGCCCTGCTGTCTCCCACTGGCACAGTGGAACCTTCCAGGCTGAAGCCTGAGGCTGCGGGCGCCCACGTATGGGCCGGTTTCTCCTTGGCACCACTTTTGCCAGGAACTCAGCCACGCAGGTGCGTGGACCGGCTGAATTCCAGGGTTGGAACTCACATTCACTTCTACGCCAAGGTAGGGGCACAGATTCTCTGTGTAGGTGTCAGCACCCTGCCTCTCCTTGTTGAAGGGTCAGCTGTATTGATATGGCATCTGTGGGTCAGGGGTCAGGGGTCAGAGGTCACACCCGGCTCCTGGTGGTGCTTAGGGGAGAGCGTGGCCTCACCGCTGGTGACCCTTCCCTCCCTGCCCACCCCGCACATCAGCCTTTTCAGTTATTGGTGGATCAAATCTGGGGCCCAAGGATGGTCACACCCAGGAGGCCCGTGGCCGTCATGCTGCCCCTCTGGAGGGGGACCCCACAACTGCTGAGATGGCCTGCAACCCCGATCGGACCCTTGCAGAACCCAGGGACAGAGGGGTTCATGCAGAGGCTGGAGGAAGAAGAGACAGAGGCGGTGGGAACCCAGGATCCCTCCTTGTTGCAGGAACTGGGGTGTTCCAAGGGCACGCAAGGTGCTGGGGGGCCCGTTAGCGGAGCCTGCAACACCCCCCCCACCCCGGGCTGGTGCAGGGTTCTCCAGAGGGTGAGGGACCCTCTCAGCTGACAAAGGTCTTCCCTCCCCCACCTCCACCGGTGAGAAGCTTCACGAATCCCCCTTGGGCACAAAGTCTGTCATGCTACTTTTTAGGGCCACCTGTACGTCCTCCCTGGCCTCACCCTCAAACTTCCGAGTCACCCCGGCACCTGGCGCGGAGGGATGCTGAGAGACGAGGAAGCGATCGTGGGGCCCTGGTCCCGGGTCTGAGGCTTTCGCAGGGGCGCCTCCTCCCTCTGACTGGGCAACTGGATGGTCCCTGAAGCCCCAAAAGCCCCCCAAGCCTCTCCCGCAGGCCCCGGGGAGGCGGATACTCCAGAGAAGGGCAGCTGGGGGTGACCCCCCGCCCCCCGCCGGACCCTACCAGGTGCAGCTCGTCTCCCTCGATCCACTGCGTCCAGCCGCGGCCCTCCTTCTCGCCCTTCTGCACGCACTGCAGCTTGTCCCCGTCCCAGCTCACCGTGGTCTGCGGAGGGAAAGTGTCCTGAGCAGCAGCCCCGGGGCGGCAGGGACCCCAGCCCCGTGGCCCGCGGGGACAGACGAGAGCTACGGGGCTGCCTGTTCCCGGCCCCTCGCTTGCTCTCCCCGAAGTACAGAAATCAGCCTGGAAACGCTCACGATCCTTCAGGAATTCCACTAAGGGGTGAAATCGGGGCGGCGAGAGGGGGCGACTGGGAGGACTGAGAGCTAGGCTGGGGGCACAGGGTGACTTCTGAGGGGAAGCCCCAGGGGGATGGGGTGAGGCCCGCATGGATTTCCCAGGTACCCGGCCCACACACTTCATTCATGGCTTCTGCCTCAGCCCCTTGGGACAGACCCTCCCGTCCCCTTCTCAGCACCTCGAGAGCGGTGGGAAAGTAAGTCAGGGTGGGGACCTCATCCAGTTCTCTGGACAAGGATGTGCCGGGCCCCCTCTCACCTTGAGGCCCTGCCAGGCCCCCCAGGAGCCCACACCCTGGATGCAGGGGAGAGGTTTCCCCCAAGGAAGGGGCCGCAATTGGGAGGCTCCGGGGTCTCGGGAGAAAGGTCCCAAGAGACTGAAGGTAGGACATGGGCGTCCAGGCATGCCCGCAGGAGGGTGGGGGCAGAGGTCCAGGGCTGGAGGCCAGGGCTCCCACTGGCACCCACCCAGGCTCTTGCAAAGAGCACAGAAGGGGTAACTCCACATGGGGGCGCTGTCTCCCCGTGGTGAGCGTCTGGCTGCCCCTTGCTCACTGTAACTCATCTTGCTCTGAGTAACCCTCCCACCCCCCCTCCCCCCCCGAGCTCCAGACACCTGCCCCCCCCCACTATGCCAAGTTGGGGGGCTGACTACAGATGAAAGGTCTTGGACCCCAGTTTCCCAGCCTGCCCAGCAGAGTCAGGTGAGTCAACAAGCCAGTGAGAGGATCTGGAGAAATGGGGTCTGGAGAAGGTGGGGTGGGAGAAACCATCCCCCGCCCCCCACCTTTGCCCTTCCCAGTCCTTGGTCACTACCGCCCTCTGCTGTCGGGACGATGCACTGCCATTAGCGCGCCTCCCCCCCACCTCACCCCCTTCCTGTGCTTCGCACATTGTTGGGGGGCGGGGCAGGGGGGGTGTGCAGACAAACAGGGGCCTCCTGGTCAGGACACAAGGCAGCAAATGCCTCACTGAATAGTCCTAGAATAAGACCATGCATGACCTTGGTCACATACAGAAGATGCCCACGTACTGGGCGCTTGGTTGGAGCCCAGCGTGAAGGGCAGTGGGAGGCCGGTGGGGAGTGGGATGGGGGGCTGGGCAGGAAACGGGTCAGCCTGGGCGTCAGGGAGCTGGTGAGGCATCTGGCTTCCTTATCCAGCCGGTCTCTCTTCCTGTGTTTATCCATGTGGTTCTGCTCCGCAGGCTACGGGCTGCAGACATGAGCCCCGGCTGAGCTCCCGGAGAGACGCGGCTCTCAGTTATGCTGCAGGCAGCCGCCTCTCCCCAGCCTCTCCCCTCGGCTGACTCACGCCAGATACCCGAATGCCCCGAGAGGCTGCTACTCCAGACTGGGTCTGGGGCCTTTCCATCTAGACAAAAATCTTTAAGTTAATTGCTACAGTATATATTCTACATGTGTCTCTCACGGTTGCTCATCCTGTTCCCTCACTTCTTCACTGCAGCAAAGGACTCGGCCTTCCACTGCTACCAAGATTCCCGAGAGCATGCTTTCAACTGGCACAGACCGCTCAGGGAAGGGCAACATTATGAGGCTCTTGTGATATTTTAAAAAACAAGGGCCGGAGAGATAGGACAGCGGGTAGGGCATTTGTCTTACACGCAGCTGACCTGGGTTCAATCCCCGGCGTCCCATATGGTCCCCCAGCACTGCCATAAGTAATTCCTGAGTGCAGAGCCAGGAGTAACCCCTGAGCATCGCTGGGTGTGACCCAAAAAGCAAAACAAAAATGAAAACGAGGGGGCTTAAATGACCAGGGCTTAAATGACTAAGTTGGCCACAGCAGAGGAGCGGAGGAGCAGAGGGCAGGCAGTATCCAACTGGGAAGAGACAGGTGAGTGACCAGCTCAGGCAAGCTTGTCACATGGAGTGGGTTAACAGCTCCCAGGGCTCAGTGCCCAGCTGTGAATGGGGCTTGTCTGCTGTCCACGTTGGCCAGTAGGGAAACCCTTTGTTCCAAACTGGAGAACTTTCTGTGTCTTTCGTTTTGGGGTCACACCTGGAAGTGCTCAGGGGTAACTCCTGGCTCTGCACTCAGGGATCACTCCTGGTGATGCTCGGGGGCCATTGGGGATGTCAGGGATTGAACTCGGGGCAGCTGCGTCCTGGACAAGTGCTCGAGCTGCCGTGGCATCTCTCTGGCTCCCCAAGGTGGGGATTTGGGACAAGGCTACGGGACCGCCCTTCCGCCTGGCTAATGGTTCCAGATCCTTCCCTGCTGCACTGGCACTTGGGAGTGTGGTGGGGTGCACTCCCCGAAATTTAACCGGCAGGCACTCTCCCGGGGTTCCCATTCCCCGGGAACCGTGGGCGGTGGCTTCCCCACAGTGTGGCTGTATCTCCTGCTCCCTGCTCGCACTTGCTTTGGACAAGTCAGGAGTTTTTGTTTGTCTGTTTTGGAGGCTGCTTTTCCCAAGCAGTGCTCAGGAGGCCAGAGATCAGGCCCGGAGACTCTCTGCCACCAGGGTGGTGGAACAATGCTCTGGGTGAGGACACGGTGCTGCTAGGTCCCCGAGGTGCTGGGAGTTTCATGTGTCACCCTGGCAGGGTCTCAGGGGGCCACGTGGAGCTAGTGATGAATTCGGAGCCAGCCACAGGCCATAGTGCCTTAGCCCTGTGCTCTCTCCCCGCCCCCCATAGGGATTCTTTATTAAGCCGTGTCCTGGGGGACCCCGCAGTGACCTCCTGGAGGACCTGCTGAGTCTGAAGAACAGAGTGGGGAGGCCGGGGGGCATCTGAGTGGGGGGGGGATGAGGGTGCTGAAACCACGGACAGCTAGACGCTGTCTGTGCACAATACAAATCGCGAAGACGTGGACTTGCCCATTCTCCTGGACGCTAGCCTCAGAGTGGCTCCCTAGAGCTCCCCCACTTTACCTGGGGTCAGTGGAACTTTCTCCTCCCAATGCCTGTGTGAAAGGCGTGAGCAGGTGGGTTGGGCCGAGGAGGGGACGGAGTCAGGGTTGTGCAGGGAAGGTTCCACAACATTCCCAGGGCACCCCCAGCACCCCCGGCTGTAGAGCTGAGCCAAGTCGAGCTTCGCAACTCCAAGGCACAGTCAACGAAAGTGCGAGCTAAGGGGGCTGGGGAGAAGGGCAGGTGAGTGGGCCCTGGACAGAGGTTCCACCCCCAGCGAGATGGTGCAGGGGGCGGTGAGGGCGCTTGCCTTGTATGCAGATCACCGGGGCTCAATCCCAGGCACCAGAGATGGTCCCGAGCCCCTCCAGGAGTGACCCCTACGCACAGAGCCAGGAGTAAGCCTGAGCACTGCCCCTAAACCATAATCAATTCATCAATCATGAAAATGAAATGAAACAACCCCCACAACAACTTTAAAACAAAACAAAACAAAACAAACCCAAAGTACAAATTCAGCTTATGAAGTGACCAGCCTAGCCTCCCAGGGTTAAGAGGTACCAGCCCTCCCCCCAAATTCTGGAGTCCAGTTCTCTCTGGCTGGGAAGTGGATTAAGTGCCAGAAAACCAGGCTGCTCCCCTCACTCCCCAGGGGGCCTGCAGTGATCTGAAATCGGACAGGGAGCCCATTCTCGGTAAAAACAGACTAAAGGGGAAATGAACAAGGCCCTAAAGTGTGACCCTGCAATTAGAGACCAGAAAACTGTTAAAAGCAACACTGGGAGCTAGTAAAGTGTCTCCAAGGCCACGGGGCCATGGAAGTCACCCTTGCATACTATCCCAAGGCCACTGGCCACGGAAGCCGCCCTTGCATACTACAGAGAGGAGAGCCCAGTTCTGAACACAAACTCCGCCACCATGTCAGGACTAATCTTTCCTTGTCATGTTTCAAACTCCTTACACATTCCAGGAAGCGCCAGGCTCCCCTGAAAAGGCAGAAGAGGGTTAGAGACCTCCAGGTTCTGGACTGGGGTGGGGGGCGGTTTGGAGGCCGCCATGGGTCTCTCTGTAACTTCAGCCATTCCAGGATTCCAGGGACCTTGCACTGACAGGGGGTGGTGGTGGGGGGGGGGTCGCAGGACAGCGCGACCTGCTGGGAAGGCAGATGCCTGCATTGGCACTGGCACCACCTAACCTCTGTACTGGGGTTCAGGATGGGACCCAGCCTGGTGGGGGTTGGAGAAGGCTTCCTGGTGGAGGTGACAGGGCCACATCACCCTGGACGTCAGCACTGTGGCCCTCCAGTGCAGGGCTGGGCTGGGCACAGCCTCTCTCCCTGCTTCACAGGTGTGGAGATGAGGCTTTAAGGAGAGATGAACTGGGAGTCTGTCCACCCCTGCCCCCAGCCTAGAGTCTGACTTGAGGCCATGCGTGTGTCCCCGAGCCAAGCTGACCTTGAGAGGCAGAGCTGGCTGACTCAGTTCTGTTCCAGTAGACCGTCTTCAGGAACTACTGCAGTGATACTTGGGACAAGTGTGAGGTCCCTGCTCCCAGGGCTCACAGACTATAGAAGACATGCAGAGACCTCCAGCCAAACCCGGTTCTGGGGCGAGGCCTATCAGGAAAGGCTTCCTGGAGGAGGTGGCAATGCAGGGATTGATAGCCCAAAAATGAGAGCTGGGTTCTGAAGGCAAGGCTGTGAAGGAGTTGAGGGAACAGCCTGGACAGAGGCGCGGTACAGGGGTAGCGTGAGTGAAGCTTCCCAGTGGGCTCTGCCCAGCTGGGGTCTTCCATGAACCTTTCCGCATAGGTGCTGAGGTGGCACTGTTCAGAGCCTCTCGATCATGTCCCGTCTCCCAGGCTCTGTCTTCCCAAGCCGGGGTGGCCGGTGGCACAGGCGAGCACTGCACCTGGGGCGGTGCAGGGACC